GTGAATTGATACAAAAATATTTTATTTTTGGTAAGCATTTTGTTAAAATATAATAATTTGTAATATGGTCTTTTTTATTTTTAACATTGTAATTTCTAGAGAAACTCTCATGTGCTCAAACTTAAAACTTTTAAGTCATTTTGCCACATAACTTACCTGTTGAGATGAATTTGCAGTGTTGTTATTATTATTATTATTATTATTCTCCTCCTCATGAGGTCCCTGTGTACCTTGACCAGGTTTCCTTTTGCTTTCTGCTTTTAATCAACACCAGTGCTGATTAAAAATTAATTACTATATCGCTACAAACACAGGGCTTTAAAGCACCTGGTGATCAAAAGTGACTTAACTACCAGGGCCCTGAGCTATGAGCGGGGGCTGTGATCTCCGTATCTGACAAAATAGAATTCGTTAAACGCAATGGATCAAACAATATGAAGAAGGACACTCTGTGAGTCACAACTCACAGTGGAGCTGTAATAGGTACAAATGTCTCTGTACCAACAAAGGGGCAAACAAAAGTATTTCTATTTTATGAACCAGAAACAATGAGATGCAAGCAGAAACGGATTTTAAAATATCCACAAGTAATAATACGAATACCATTTGGGTATAAGACAAGTCAAATATTAATAACAAAAAAAATAAGGAAATAGAGACTTAAACATAATAAAGTAGATCCTATGGATCTTACGAATATCACACATATGCAATGTGTGTGTACATACGTGTCTGTGAAAGTTTAATTCCTGATAACAGCACAACTTCTTAAGTGTACATGAAATATCCACAAAATTTGATGGTTCACTTGTTCACAAAAAAAGCAGTACGTTCTGTAAAGTAGATATGTTATACTCACCCTATGCTCAAATGCAGCGAAGCTAGAAAGTATTGACAATATTTTTACAACCCTCCGGTACATGGAAATTTAAACATCTTCTACTAAATACTTGCTGCTAAGAGACAAACTACAAACCAAAATCACAGAATTTCTTCAAAATCATGATAATAAAAATAACTACCTTTCTGAATCTACAGGGAATCTTTAGAATAACAACCAGAGGAAAGTGTGTAGCGTTAAACACATATCATTCATACAGGAATTAAGTTCCCAACTCAGAAAGCTAGGAAAAGAATAGCAACATAGATTGAAGTAAAGCCAAGGGGGAAAAGATCAATGAAGTAGAGAAGAGAAAAAGAGTGGAATTAAGTAATAAATTAAATCTCAGTTCCTTTAAAACAAAACAAAATTTGCAAACTACTAGCCAACGTAATCAAGTAGGAAAAATGAGAAAAAAAAACCCCACAAACACCCAAATATACAAAGTAAGGACTGACAAAGGGAGAAATAGCTACTGAAACAGAGGAAACTGTAAAAATTGTAAGTGGCTATTTGGTAACTTTATGCAACTAATATTTAAAATCTGTATAAAATGGGTAAGTTCCTAGGAAAATAGGAGTTTAACAAAAATGGTCCAATATAGACTTAAAGCTGAAATAAACCATAGAAGAAATGGAGAAAGTTATCAAGCAACTGTCTACAAAACCACTAAAAAGGATTTTCTTTTAAGAAAAGACAGAAACTTCATTCCAGTAAATGGTTTGCAAACTCCAGAGCTCAGCCTTCCATATGGAACAAAGGTGCCTTCTGAGGAGCAGAGAGGAGCTGGCTTTTATAGAGAAAATTCCTGCCAGGTTCCCACTCTGGTCTGCTATGCAAATGAGGGATGCAAACTTCCTTAGTTCTGATTGGTTGATATTTGCCTAGCTCTGATTGGTCGACACAGGTCTAGTCTGTTGATTAGGTCCAGGTGGGAAGATGAGACTTGCTGGCAGCCGTTGTTTCAGGTGGAGTGAGCAGGAATGGAAAGCTCTGAAAGTCCCAAAGTTATGCAAGCCCAGAGGACACCTGTGACCTCTAGTCAGCAATGGCCGCTTGGCTCTATTTTGAATTTAGGCTCGGTTAGCCACTCAGAATCCATCTGGCTTTCCAGTTTCACAGAACAAACCCATAAAAATCTCAATGCCCAAATAATCTCATGGGGAAATTCTACTAAAAGCTTCAAGTACTAAATAGTCCCAATGCTGCAAAAATAATTCCAGAGAATAAAAAACAAAGGAACACATTCATACTAAAACATTAACTCAAAAATGTGTCATAGACCCAAAATGTAAGAGCTAAAGTTATAAAACTTCTAGAAGAAAATATAATAGAAAATGTTTGTGCCTTTGTATTGTATCAGGCAGAAGTTTTTGGCTAGGACACAAAATGTCAATCAAAAAGAAAAATTGGATTTCATCAATATTAAAAATGTTTGCTCTTTGAAAGATACTGTTCAGGAAATGGATGAAGAGGCAAGTCCCAGACAAGGAGAAAATATTTGCAGATGTAGCTGATAGAGTGCTTGTATGCAGAATGTATGAAGAATTCTTCACAGCTCAGTATTAAGAAGACACCTAATTAAAAATGTGCTAAAGACAAACATGTGACCAGAGAATAATGTGGAGAATTGTGAATAAGCTTTCATAAGCTGATGAAAAGACGCTCAACATCATTAGCTATTTAGGGAAATGTAAATTAAGCTGAAAGTGGGCTAGCACACGGCACGCACCAGAACGGCTAAAATGTAAGCGATTAATAACGCCGAGTGCTGCAGTGGAGGCAGAGCACATCAGGAATTCTCATCCAGCGCTGGGTGGGAAGGCGAAATGGTACTACGCCTTGGAAAACAATTTGTCAGACTCTTATGAAGTTAAATGTAACGTCACACTGTCCAGCAATCCATTCATAGCTACATACCCAAGGGAAAAGGTATTTACCCGAGTATTTGCCTAAATCCACTCAAATACTTGTGCATACGTGTTCATAGCAGCTTTATCCGTGATATGGTAAAAAACTGGAAGCAACTCGGGTGTCCCTCGCCGTGAGTGGGCAAAAGAACTGTGCTGCGTCCGGCTGTGAGGTGCCACCCAACAATGCCACCCAAGAATGAGCTCCTGCCACCTGCCACAGCCTGGAGGGGCTCAGAGCCTTCATGCCGGGTGAAAGAAGAGGGACTCAAAGCCCGCACACGTTGTGATTGAATTCACATGACACTCTGGAAGAAATGAAGCTGCACGTTGGCGGACCCTTGGTTTCTTGGGCTGGGGTAGGGAGGGGGCACTGGCAGCAAAGGGGATGAATGTTCTGTGTCTTGATTGTGTTTGCACAACTGTGCAAACTCACTGCAAACTCACAACAGTGCAAACTCACAACTGTGCAAACTCACACTCGCTCTGTGTCAAAACTCACTGCACTGATTCGCTTAAAAGGGGTGAATTTTATTGTATGTGGACCACGCCTCGGTGAAGCTAATCATAAGGCAGAGCCATCACCACTATCACCATCACTTACTGCTGTGAAGACAGTCAATGCATAACGGGGAAGGGCAACCGGCAGCTTGCAGTAGTTACGAGGTCCTTCTCCCGGCGATGGGACGCTGTCCCCAAGACGGCCAGCAGGGGGCGCGGGGGAGCAGAGCGCGGCCGCCCGAGCATCCTTGGTCCTGGAGCTGCACCTTAGAGGTGTGTAGCAGGACACCCGACGTCCCCAGGTGATAGGAACCTTTCAGCTCCATTACAATACACGGCACCCCCGCACATACGTGGCTGTCGTCGGCTGAAACGTCGTCATGCGGCGTGAAGCAGGCACTGCGTGTAACTGGCATGTAGTGGACACAGGCGCATACATGACCCAGGACTCGCGGCGCTCTGGGGCAGAGGCTTTGCTCGAGGGGCCCACTGGGCGCCAGGCGGTCACGGCGCTGTCTAAATTTCCGTCACACCCCTGCTGGGTGCGATTAGTGCCCGTGTTTCACAAACGGAAAACCTGAGACCCTGGGAGGGACGAGAACCTCCCCAAGGTGACCGCCTGGCACAGGAACCCACGCGTCACGGGGACGCCCCTACCGCTCCCTCCAGGACGAGCTGGCCAAGCCCCGCTCCTTGGACCCTGGGCGGCTGGCGCTGGGAGCCACGGAGAGTCTGGCCTGGCGCCCTGCCTGCGCTCCCGCCCAGGCCCATGGGCCTTCAGCGGTCGCGGGGGGATCTTTCACCAGGGGCCTCCCCACGGCTGGCATCGTTGTCGCCATGAAGCGCCGTCAACCTCCGGCGGCCCTGTCCACGCCCGTCCCGGCTGCGTCGGGGTAGGAGACGGCCTGTCGTGCACACGCATTTCACAAGCAAGGTGTCTGCACGCATTCGGTAAAAGCAAAGGAAGTTTGTGAATGCCGTCTGAAACCCTGTGTCACTCCAGGAGGTTTTTAGGGATGATGTTATCTGAGTTTTTGTATTAATAAAAGGATTGGCATGAGAGCGGTACGGTGGGCCTGAAACTCGCTTGCTCGAGGTGCTCTGTCGCTGCTAGGGCGGCCTGAACGCACTCGAGGAACTGTTGCTCTTAGAGCAAGTGAAAGGGTGTTACCACTGCACACGCACACCGTCACACACCCACACATATGTACACACTCATACACGTGTGCACACCCACATGCACATACGCCTGCTCTTGTGTGTACACACGCACACCCACATGCACATACACATGCTCGTGTGTGTACACACATCCACACATATGTACACACTCTCACATGTATACACACACCCACACATATGCACACACTCTCACATGTCTACACACATCCACACATAGGCACATGCTCTCACGTATGTGTACACAGGCCCACACACATGTATACATATCATGTGTGCACACCTTTACACATGTACACACACTCGTACACATGTACACACACACTACTGTCACCACCTCTGTGTAAATGACACAAAATGAAATTTAGCAGATTTCTTTATTTGAAGAAATTATATGTTAAACCATTGAAAAGGCTAAAAAATGATTAAGAGAATCCAGGATTTCATGACACTCGAAGTTGATAGAAAGTGAATTTTCCTCCTTCGTTCCAGGACGCCCAGGGCAGCCGGGTGCTGGGAGGCAGCGGCTCCTAGTAGTGACAGTCTGGGGATTAAACACAGGGCGGCGGTGAGAGGCCCCGGGAACGGGGCCAAGCCAGGAGCCGGGTGGGTCCTGGACCACAGGTCACTCTGCCCAGGCGTTCCCCGCTGCACGAGCCCTCCCAGGAGGTCCCGGGGCGAAACCCCACCCCGGCGAGAGAGTCCTCTGGGGGCCCCTGTCCCCACGCAACCGGACACTTTCCAGGTGGACCTTGAGGTCACGTAAAAAACATCACCCGGAAACCCCGAAAGTTACAAGTTTTGCTCTTTGGAGCACTCTGCGCCCTAAAACAAAGGAAAAGGGACGTGTCCTTCACGGGCAGATGCTCTCGCCCCGTGTCTTTGGACACGCCTGGTCTTTTCTCTGTCCTGCCAGCCCCATGTCAGGAGCACGGGCCCCCTGGGGCTGTCCAGGAGCAGGGCGCCGTGGCAACATGTGTCACTCGCATCACGCGGGGGGCACGGTGAGGCCACGTGAGACGGGACCGGCTGCTCTACTCAGACCACCCCCCACCCCCGCCCGGTGCCCAGCTCTCAGTGGCATCCACACACACGCAGGGACCAACTACAGTGACATGGGCACCCCGCCAGGCGGTGCCAGCGCTCGGGCAGGGCAGGGAGGAGCCGCCGGCCTCACCTCCACCGTAAACGGCGCAGTGGCCGTGCTGGAGGCGCTAGACTCACCGCACAGACACCATGTCGGAGAGAACATTCTGGAACTGCCTTCAGAATCCCGCTGGGTGCAGGGGCCCTGGCCTGGGCTGGCAGCAAGGCCGCCAGGCAGCTCCCCTCCCGCGCCCAGCGCCTCCCGCCTGCCCGGTGAGAGGTCCCGGGTGCCTCGGCCTCCCCGCGGCCTCACCTTCCACGGGCTTCGGGTAGAAGCACCAGGGCACCTGGAAGACCAGGTCGTCGAAGCAGCACTGCTGGGACACACACTCCTCGCGGCTGATGCCCGGGTAGCCGCAGTTCACGCGGGCTGCGACTTCCATGACGCACTGCTCATTCTCTGTCACCGGAGGGCAGGCACAGACCGGTCAGGCCAGCAGCTCACTGGACTCCCCATGCCCACGCCCACCAGGAACACTGCCGGACCCAGGGCCTGCCTGTGTCCTGGGGAGCTGCCGGGCAGCGTCTTGGGAGCTGTAACCCCCAGGGGCTGTGTGGGTCGGCGCCCGAGGTGGGCTGGCCCGTCCTCCCCGAAGGTAGGTGTGGACCAGGGTGGGACGACAGTCACGGACGATCTGAAGATCGGGCGCCCTGGGGCCCCGGGGCAAATCATTTCGTCCCTCGGGACTCCATGTTCTCCTCTGGCAACGGGGTGGCCCAAGATGGGGAGAGGGTTGTGGAGCCCTGTGGGGCTGCAAAGCGCCTGGTCCCCGCATTGCCGCCCAAGGTCCTGGCATTCAGTGAGGGCCCCCGAGAACCACCAGCTTGGAGCGACAGGCTCGGGGAGAAGAGCTTCCCCCGCGAGTGTGGACAAGAGGCGGCAGGTGCCAAGTTCCGGGCACGCAGGTGTGCTTTGCACACGCAGCTCTCTGGTGCACACCTTGGCATTACGTCTTTGTGCCTTGATCACATGCATGGGACATAAAACTCATCCCCAAAATAATTCTAGAAATCTCAACTTACTTCCTTAACTACACTTGAAATCTGTTAGCACTTAGGTCACTAACGTCCTGTTAGATGCCTTCACTTCCCCGCAGGAGCTTCCTCAGAATCACATTTGCTAAAAGAGGCTTCAGATTTTTTTCCCTCAAATAAAGTAAAACTGATGGATTCAGACATGTCTGCTAAAAGAGCAAATGGTGCAGACATGGGGGTGGGCAGGGCATTTCCATCTCTCTGTTGGCTTACCTGGGCTAGCTCTAAACCAGTGGCTTTCCTGGGCTAGCTCTTGACTAACAGACCTGGGCTAGCTCTTGACTAACAGATCTGGGCTAGCTCTAGACTAATGGACCTGGGCTAGCTCTTGACTAGTGGCCCTCCTGGGCTGGCTCTTGACTAACAGACCTGGGCTAGCTCGAGACTAACAGATCTGGGCTAACTCTAGACTAACAGACCTGGGCTAGCTCTACACTAACAGACCTGGGCTAGCTCTAGAGTAACAGACCTGGGCTAGCTCGAGACTAACAGATCTGGGCTAACTCTAGACTAACAGACCTGGGCTAGCTTTAGACTAACAGACCTGGGCTAGCTCTAGACTAACAGACCTGGGCTAGCTCTAGACTAACAGACCTGGGCTAACTCTAGAGTAACAGACCTGGGCTAGCTCTAGAGTAACAGACCTGGGCTAGCTCTAGAGTAACAGACCTGGGCTAGCTCTAGACTAACAGACCTGGGCTAGCTCTAGAGTAACAGACCTGGGCTAGCTCTACACTAACAGACCTGGGCTAGCTCTAGAGTAACAGACCTGGGCTAGCTCGAGACTAACAGATCTGGGCTAACTCTAGACTAACAGACCTGGGCTAGCTCTAGAGTAACAGACCTGGGCTAGCTCTACACTAACAGACCTGGGCTAGCTCTACACTAACAGACCTGGGCTAACTCTAGAGTAACAGACCTGGGCTAGCTCTACACTAACAGACCTGGGCTAGCTTTAGACTAACAGACCTGGGCTAGCTCTACACTAACAGACCTGGGCTAGCTCTACACTAACAGACCTGGGCTAGCTTTAGACTAACAGACCTGGGCTAGCTCTAGACTAACAGACCTGGGCTAGCTCTAGACTAATAGCTGGGCTGGGCCTCCTCAAGCTCCTGCTGTGTGCTCTGCCTGTGATGCGGGGTGCTGGGCTCCGGCCATCAGCCCAGGAAGAGGGTCTGGCTTCCCGCAGAGATTACCTTCCTTTGGGAGGGGGTAGAAACACCAAGGCACGCCGGCGACACTGGAGTCGAAGCAGCACCCGCTGTCGAAGCACTCGTCACTGGTGATGCCCGGGAAGCCGCAGTTCTTCCTGTTCTTGGGGCTCAGCCTTGAGCACTGGCAGGGGGCTGTGGAGAGAGCCCTCGGCCCCGTCACGGGGCGCCAGAGCACAGTCCCCACCTGCGCTCAGGGTCCCGGGGGCCCCCACCTTCCTGGGGCCGCAGGGAGAAACGCAAAGTCGTATCCTGCCCCTAGTCGAGCTGTGAAATTTCCTCCTGAGAAACTGGCGGGGATTTGCTGAAGGTGTTCTATTATGTATTAGTTTAAAAAAAAAACACCTTCAGAAGAAGGTGGCAGGTGGACCCAGGCAAAGGTCAAAGTGGAAGGCGAGCAAGCCGGACTCCGAGCGCCTCGGAAGGGCCGGCCCTGCGGACCGCACGGGGCCAGCGGCACCCGGCCCCCGGCCCGTTCCGCACAAGGAGCCCCCCTGGGGCCTGGCGCAGCCCTTCCCTCGCGCCGTGGGGGCGGCACTCGCCCGTCTCACACCGCAGGGCGCCTCCGAGGCTGCTCTGCCGCGAGTTAACGCGCCATCCTGCCTTTGTGCTTTAAGGGACACGACAGGGAGGACGCAGGGCCCGGCCGCCCGAGCCCCTGCCCCCAGGGCACCCTCGGGGCCGGCTCACCGCCCCGCCGTGCGGGGCTGAGCCTGGGGTCACTCACGGCTCCCACGTACAGGGTTTCTCGGCCCCCGCCAGGGCACATAGCCCCAGGACGAGGAGCGCAGCCAGGAGCTGGGCGCCACGAGGTCCCATGTCCAGCTCGGCGGCGGCACCCCAGGCGGTCTGCAGAAGGCAGCTCCCGCTGCCGGGCGGCTTATAATCTCCTCTCTGTTTGTTCAGCAAGCACAGATAATCTGCCCGCGCCCGCGGCCCCAGCCCTCCGGCCCTTTGTGTAGAGGCAGGGGCCGCGGCAGCTCCACCGCGGAGGCGGCCGGCGGCACCGTGCCCCGCGCGGGCGAGGCTTCCGGGGGGAGGGGGAGGGGTGCCGGCCCCCTGCCCTGGGCGGGAGCCAGGTGGAGCCAGGCTGCCAACGTGGAAGCTGGCCACGAGCAGGTCTGGGGCTGGGCGCACACGGGCCACACCCAGGAAGGGATAAGCCACGCATTTCTCCCGATAACGCGAGTGACTACCAGAGGGATGAACAAGGTACTGGGACCAAGGTTACTGGGGAACGGACGGGCCCGGGGGCAGCCCAGGGAGGACGCCCCCGCCCGTCCCATCGGCAGCAGGGGCTGCTCCCCGCGGAGACGGCCGGCGAGGTCCGTGGAGCAGCCCGGCACGGCCGCTCCATTGATGGTTTAATAAGTGCGTTTTCAGCCAAGCCCTGAAACCGGTCATTTTTGCTCCCGAGGGGATCCTCTCCATTTCCCAAACGAAGACACCCAGACCCTGGCAAATGCCCCGCCTGGGGCACGGTGCTCCGGACAAGGGGCCTCGCACTGGCCGGAGGGGAGCGAGGCCGGAAGACTGGCGCCCCCCCAAGCTGGGGAGGACGGGTGGGAAGGACAGAGGGACACCCGAGGAGCCCCACGCCAGAGCGGTGACAGGAGGCTGAGAAGTCGGCGCCCCAGAGACTGGCGCATGCAGAGGCCGGGGGCAAGCAGGACCTCAGGGCAGAGGCAGCAACCGCCGCCCTCCTGCGCTGCCTGCGTGTCCAGCCCGGCACCGCCAGGCTCGGCCCTGCGTATTCCCCGTGGGGGCTCCGTCTCTGGAAACCGCAGAAAGGTCCATTTCCCCGCCCATGTCCCCGTCACCTTAGCCGCCACCAAGACAGAGTGTCTGTCGTGCACGCTCATCCCCACTGTCCTCCCTGACCCCGCTTCCCGCCGCCCCTGCTGCCCCTCCCGGGCTCCCGCTGGAACCACCTGCTCGGCGCCCAAGAGCCCACTCGCCGTCGCCCCTCTCAGCCTGTGCAGATCAGAAAAAGGCTCATTTTCTTCACGCCGAGTTAAACCCACCTGTTGGGAAACCATTCCACCGGATGGGCCGTCCGGCACGTGAGGGCCACCTGCGGAGCCTGGGGCTGCGCCCACTGCGCCACCCCCACGGCTGCGTCTGGTGGCCGGGCTCCCAGCACGTGGGCTCGGGCCGGGGGCCGGACGTTGACCTGGAGCTCCAGGCCCCCCCCATCGCGCAAAGACCACACTCCCTGGAGATGCAGCTGTGACCAGCGCCACTTCCAGAGCCCCTGCCCCGCGGCCCCCGCGGCCGTCTACTGGCCTTCGTGCGGCCTGTCCTCGCCGTTAAGGACGTAGCACAGAGCTCACGGCGTCCCCTGTCCCGCCAAGACTTGGTCACATCCTGGGCAGCTGCAACATTCCACTGGGCGTCTCATCCAAAGTCACAGCCGCTCGGGGTTCACTTCCTCGTCCCTGGGAACGTCCACGCCCCTCCGCTTACTTCTGCCTCCCCTCCCCGGCCGCGCTCGGAGCACCAGCTCCACACCTGGAAAGACGAGGCGCAAACGTCCTTTCTGCTCGGGATGTCCCTAGCTCCTGACGTCCTGTCTGCGACTTCCACCACACCTCTCTCCACATCCCGAAACCCTCTGGCCCCGGGCCCTCAGCTGTCCCTCTGCGAGCCCCATCCTGGCCGTCCTCCCGTCCCTCCTCCAGCCTGGTTTCCCCGCCCGCCTCACCTGCGCCCGTCCCCGCCGTTCTCTTGCACGTCATCTGCTAACTGTCCCCGTGCCGACGCCTGCCGACCCCTGCCATTCGCCGCCGCCATTGTAAACGCACGATCGCAGACCCCCCTGGGCACTCCGTGACCGTGCCATCCTTCTTTGGGGTGGTGCCGTCTGTCAACTCACACAGAAAAAAACAGTCGCCACGTGGGAGCCCGTCAGATGTCGTCCATGCGGACGCCTGCTTTTGACTACTGTGCGGTGACTGGTACCGGACTGGCCCTCCCACCATTAGCGACTCTAAAACTATACGAAATAGTGTTTTGTAGGGGCTGGGCTGCTGGCAGTGCCAGACAGTGGTTGCTGAGAGGAGGGAGGCCAGCCCCGTGGCTGCCCAGACACTCTCTGGACCACCGCAGGGGCAGGGGGCAGGGAGCAGGGGGCAGAGGGCAGGGGGCAGAGGGCAGGGGGCACACAGCGCAGCAGTCTTGCCAAGCTCGGAGGCAGAGGCTGGAGTTGGAAGCTCCCCAGGCAGCTGGATTTTCAGGGTAAGAAAAGAAAGCTGTCTTCAGTCAGGTTCTTGAAAATAATTGCTAGAGCGGACATACGGAAATATGTTTCTAATTTTACAGATTCTGATGTATTGATGAAATTACTATGCGTTTTCCAGGTTAAAAAATACTCTCAAGTACTTCTCTCGTTCAGTATTAACTTCATGTGTTTCATTGTGTTGGTAATATGTATGCATCTATTTCAGTGCCTTAAACTGTTTTTGGAAGGCAATCTTTTGCTAATGGTTAAAGAACTGTTCTCCGAAGGATGAGATACTGTTCGTTAAAAGGATCTGTGAAATAATTTACACTTGTTATAAAATAGTTACATGTGGATGCATTTGTTATTTTTGTCAAAGTCTTTCAGTTTGAGAATCAACAAACATTTATTAGGTGCCTTCACTTCAACCAGCATTACTTTCATTTAATACTCAGAAATGTAAAAATGTGATATTTAAAATACTAACTCAATGATTATGGTTTTTGTGGTTTTTTTTTTACCATTTTGTGTGTCATAAAGTGAACTAGCATAAAGACTCCTTTGTTCTTTATCTTCCTAAGTACAAACCATTTAATTAAAAAATTGCTAATCACACTAAAGAAAAAGAAAGAAAGAAAAGAAAGAAAGGAAGGAAGGAAGGAAGGAAGGAAGGAAGGAAGGAAGGAAGGAAGGAAGGAAGGAAGAAAGAAAGAAAGAAAGAAAGAAAGAAAGAAAGAAAGAAAGAAAGAAAGAAAGAAAGAAAGAAAAGAAAGCTCCAGAAATAGGAATCAGGGGGTCCCCTGAGCTTTTAGTCAGATGCTAAGTTGCCCCTGCCACAAGGCCTTGCGCCTGTACCACCAGGCAAAACAAGCTGCTGGGGACAGGACGAGCCTGGGGAGATTGAACTGACGGCTGGTGCAGCCCCTGGGCTGTGAGTCCTTAAGTTCTGAGAAGCCAGAGGGAGAGAGGCTGCCACAGGAGCACGCCCGGCCTGTTCTAGAGCACAGGGACCCTCGTCGCATTCTAGCAGAACTTTAGAGCAAGTCTTGAAAGAACCGAGTTAGCCTGCAATCCAAGGAACTGGCTTGCTGGGGCCGCTGTGGCGAAAGGCCGCAGACTGGGCGGCGTGAACAGCAGAAGTGCGTGTCCCCCCACCTCCGCCCAGGGCTGTTTGTTCCCTGTGCGGCCCCTCCCCCTGCTTGCAGACGGCCCGTCTCCCCTGCGTGATCTTCCCTGTGGGCAGGCACGTGCCTGTGTCCTGTCGGGCCACCAGCCAGGCTGGATTGGGGCCCACCTTGTAACAGGCTCATCGTAACTTAACTCCCCCTGTAAGACGCTGTCCCAGACTCAACAACACCCCGAGGCACTGCAGGGGGGAGCTCCAGCGTATGGATCTGCGAGAAGACAGAGTCCTGTTTAAGCCCAGGACTATGTGGATACATCATAAGGAACTTGACCAGAGCTAACAGAAGAAAGAAACAGTTGAACCAATGCTGATGAGAACTTTTGTATAGAACTAGGGAGGAAATGAAATCAGAAATGTCTTGATGAGTTATATGTAGCAGATATAATTGGAAGGACATAAATTTCAGCACATTTTAAATGTGTGTACAATGTAATTCCTCTCTGCGCTTTTTTTGAGAGACTTTAGTTAAGATTCAGGTTACTTTTAAATGTCTCTTTGCTAGCCGAGTGGATGTTTTTGTTTGTTTGACGCCGTGCTGAGACAAGCCACATTCTGGCCAATCCTAAAACGATTAAGCCAGTTAGGTTACCACATGTCCAGGTAAAATGACATGTTATGGTAGGGGCTGGAAACGAGGGCTCATGGGCCAATTGCCTGTTGTTTAAATAAAGCTTTATTGAGACACAGCCATGCCCGTCACTCACACGGGCTGTCCATGGCTACTCTCAAGCTACAATGGCAGAGTTGACGAGACTGCATAGCCCACAAAACCTACAATATTTACCATCTAGTCCTTTAAAATAATCTGCCTACACCTGTATCATAGTCTTTAAACTGTCTAAAAATAAATTTTAAACATAATGATGATAGGGAAATATTTGTATTTTTTTTTCAAATAAATAAAACGCTACAGAAATTGCCTTAATCCTTTGTCCCCCCCACCCCGTAATCTGGTCTTGAAAATGGCGTATGCTGGTTGGTGGGGGGCGATTTTCCGCGAGTTTCTCTCGTGTCTGCACGTCTCGTGAGTAAAGAACTCACCGTCTTCATGGCATGAGGTGGAAGATTAAGGTTCAGTGTTAAGTGCTGCCTTGATTATCTGGGGAAACCGAGAGGGCCTCACCGCAAGGTCCCCTCCCTCCTCCCTCCCAAACAGCCCTCCTCAGCAGCCGCAGCCCCTGCTTATCCATGAGTCGCGGACGGCAGCTCCCTGCCAGCCCGCAGAGCTGCGTAAACAAGCCGGTCGATCACTCACTCCCGCGGGAGCAGCGGCACACCACGTCCTCTTGGTCCTGCGGGGCCTCCCGGCCCGTGCTGTGCGCTCGGACCCTGAGCATGGCTCCCGTGTGGCCCTGCCTGGCAGGCAGGTCCTCCCTGGGCTGGGAGGGCAGACGACATAGCTGCAGCTGCTGC